CTCTCCCTGTCTCCCTGGACTGCCGACTGGCTATTGTCAATGTAATTAGCTGTAGTACCCCGCCCAAGACCTGATAATTACGAAACGGGACAAAAGCCCGAGGAAATAGGACCCTGGGGAAAAATATAATAAAACAACCATACTAAACGTGCAGACTCACACAAGAAAACATATTTAACAAATTGTATTTTCAAATACCTGATGTAGTTTGAGTACCCGCCCAGGCTACTTCATCATAACAACAAGCCAAACAGGTCTTATCTCGGCTGTGACTTCCCGGGTACTACCCGAACACGAGCTCTCAGGTAGATAAAATTACACATCGAGGGGCTCCCCACAGGATAAGTAACAATATTTACAGTAACGCACTAGGGGTATCCTACGGGATTAAATTTAGTTTGTTACAAACCTCCCCCTTTTGAAGACTAAAGCACCATTTAGTCCAACCTATTTACAAACTAAATACATAGAAATCATCCACATATATACAAACTGGAAATATTCACCATTGATCTTGGTTTACTCTAACTCTTCACTAGACCTTGACAACGCATCTGCAATAACGTTCTGATTACCTGGAACATACCGAACTGTAAAACAAAACTCCTGCAATAGAAGACTCCATCTTAAAAGCCTCTGATTTGACAGTTTTGATCTCTGTAACCACGTCAATGGAGCATGATCAGTTTCAATAACAAACTGCTTACCTTCTAAATACACTCGGAGTGTTTTGACAGCCCAAATAATTGCATAGCATTCTTTTTCAATCACCGCATAGTTTTTCTCTGCTGCTGTAAACTTTTTACTCAAAAAGAATATTGGGTGCTTACCAGTGTCGAACTCTTGTTCGAGGACTGCGCCTGCTCCTGTAGCACTTGCATCTGTACGCAAGACAAACATTCGACTAAAATCTGGACTGTGCAATATTGGTTCACATGCCAACTTACCTTTAAGTTCCTTGAAAGCAGTATCAAGATTATCTGTCCATTTTATTTTGTGTGGTGAATTCTTTTTGGTCAAGTCTGTGAGTGGTAGGGCAAGACTAGAAAAATTAGGAATAAACTTCCTGTAAAATCCAATGAGACCGAAAAATGACCTTACCTTCTTTTTGGTGTTTGGGACCGGAACGTTTTGAATTGCTTGCACCTTTGACAACAATGGCTTTATCTTACCGTCACCTACCATATGTCCGAGGAAACTGACCTCACCAAACCCCAATTTGCACTTTGACGGTCGGGCTGCTAAATTTGCATTCTGCAACGCTGTAAAAATCTCTCTAAAATGCACCAAGTGATCTTCCCAGGAATCGCTGAAAACACCAATGTCATCTATAAAAGCTTCTGCATAGTTTTCATGACCTTCAAGGACTTTACTCACCAATCTCACAAAAGGTGCGGGAGCATTTACCATCCCGAATGGCATTACCGTGAAACTGAAATGACCAAAAGGTGTAACAAAAGCACTTTTCTGTTTTGCCTCGTCATCTAGTGGCACTTGCCAATAACCCTTAGTAAGATCCAACTTACTGATATACTTAGCTCTACTGATTTTGTTTAGAATATCATCCATTCTTGGCATCGGACGAGGATCAAACACAGTTACCTTATTTAGATCCCTATAATCAACGCAGAATCTAAGGGTGTCGTCATTCTTTTTGATGAGTACAATAGGCGCTGAGTAAGGGCTTTCCGTCTCCTCTATGATTCCCATCTCTTTCATCTGCTTGATTTCCGCCTTTACCTTTTCCTGTAGGGCATACGGAATGGAATAAGGTTTCTTCTGGATTGGTTCCTCGGTTGTCGTTTTAATGGTGTGCTGGATGTAGGACGTTTTCTTTGGAACATCTGTAAATACATTCTCAAATTCTTCTACTAACCTTTTGAGTTGTCGTTTCTGCTCTTCTGACAGTTCTGACGATATCTCAACATTATCTGATGATTCTGTCTGTTGAAGGATTGGTGCTCTATGGTTAGTGCAATCGTCCTCATCTGAAAAATTTGGTTTTGCATCCATACATGCCAAAACTTCATTGCTTTTCGGACACTTCTCTTCCGAATCTCTGCTAAGCCACTCTTTCAACATGTTGACGTGGTAAACCGGTTCTTTATTCTTGGATATTCTTACCTTGTACTCCACTGGACTTACCTTTTTCACTACTTCATACGGACCTTTCCATTGCGCCATCAGCTTAGATGTGCTAGTTGGAAGAAGTACAAGAACTTTCTGACCTACCTCAAATGTACGAGTTCTCGCCTTTTTGTCGTAGTACATCTTTTGTTTCTTTTTCGCGAGTCTCTCTGAATCTTTAACCAAATCTCTAATGTTCTGCATTCTCTCCCTCGTCTCCAGAATATAGGACAACACTGAAGCCTGTTCGACTGTAGGTTCCTCCCACTGCTCTTTCAAGATTGCTAAGGGCCCCCTAACATGTCTACCATAGAGCAATTCAAAGGGAGAATACCCAGTTGTCTCATTTGGCACCTCTCTGTATGCAAAAAGGACGTAAGGCAAATGAACATCCCATCTGTGAGGTTCAGAAGAAGCATATGCCTTCAGCATTTTCTTCAAAGTCCCATTAAATTTTTCCACTAACCCATTTGCTTGTGGATGGTAAGGGGTAGTTGTTAATTTTCTTACCTGAAGTAACTTACACAATTCAGTCATCAGTGTGGACATAAAATTGGTACCCTGGTCCGACAGAATTTCATTAGGCACACCTACCCTAGAAAACAGCTCTATCAAAGTGTTGGCCACTGTCTCTGCTTCTTGGTTTTTCAAAGGAAATGCTTCCGGATACCGTGTTGAGTAGTCCATACAAACCAAGATGTAACGATTTTTCTTCTCCGTCAGTGGAAGAGGTCCAACAAAATCGATGGCTATTCTTGAGAATGGTTCCTCAATGGGTGGAATAGGAATGAGTGGAGCTTTTGGAGTTCGACCTTTTGGTGTTCCCTTTTGACAAATAGAACAAGATTTGCAGAATCGAGATATGTCAATATACATTCCAGGCCAAAAGAAATGTTGCATAATACACTGCCTGGTTTTCTTGTTACCTAAATGTCCTGCTAGTGGAGTGTCATGAGCCAGGGACATTACCTTCGACCTCATTGTCTTTGGTATGACGATCTGGGAAAATTTCTCACCAGAATCTTTCTGAAATATTCTATACAATAAACCATCCTGTTTCTGAAAGTAAGACTTACCTTCTTGAGTATCGTCTTGTGCCATACTCAGTGCAGATTTCAAACTGTCATCTGATTCCTGAAGTTCTACCAACTTATCTCTGCTGCACCACAATTGTTTCAAAGATTCATCCTCTGAATCCTCTTCTGTTGCTTTTCTCTGAGAACTACTATTACCTTGCTCCAATTTGGCCTGCAAACGTGTCTGAACTGCAGCACAAGTGTTCTCGTCATCTCCATCCCTCTTGACTTTTTTTTCGTCCTCCATTGGTTTGAGTATGCTAACATTATTACCAATAATTACATCAGCAAAAGGAGAATCAAGGACAAGGGCATGTACCTTACCTGATACATAAGGAGTCTTCAAATCTACCATTGCCTCATCACAGTTTCTTTGAGATCCATCAGCCAGAGTTATCACTCTTGAACGTCCTGTTTTATCAGAGTCTGAAATAAACTTACTACGTACAAATACAGTAGAGCATCCGGTATCTCGTAAGACTGCAACTGGTTGATCACTCACCTGGCCCTTTACTAAATCCAAACCCAATGCTGCCGATGTTTCATTTACTGGCGACTCGTTATCAACTCCGGACAACTTAAGAATCACCCTACCCTTGGTTGTATCTTGTATATTGTCTACAACTTTAGACTCAGACTTATCTAAACACAAACCAACATTTTCTGACCTTTTCTCAGGCTTTGTACCTCTCTGACCTTTACTGTCTTGACCCTTTGACTGAGTTCTCTTAAGAAAACAGTTGGCTGCAATATGTCCTACTCTATCACAAATGAAACACTTTCTGCTATCCCCTGCATTAAAGTGAGACTTGAGATTTGACTTACCATCTTGAGAATTTGTCGAACCAAACTTGTTTGGCTTTCCCGTCGACCTATTCCCTGTACTGTGAAATTGGACACTATTGCCACTAAGATATTTACTCTTATGTGCCGCCTGAAATGCATTAGACAACGCAACAACCTCCTCAATAGACTTTGGGTCATGTTCCAGAATCCACAACTGTAAGTCTTTTGGACAACTTCTAACAACCTGTTCTCTCAAGACCATATCATACAACTTGCCAAAATCTGAATCTATTTTCTCACGTTCACACCAGTGATTGAGGTACCTTTCTACCCTAACAACAAAATCTTTAAATGACTCATCATTTGACTGCTTACCCTGACGAAATTTTTCCCTGTAATCTTCAGAAGTAAGCTCATATCTCTTGAGAATAGCTGTTTTGATAATCTCATAGTTATCACTATCTGCATCCGACAACCTTGAATACGCTTCCAAATCCTTACCTGCTAACATAGGAACTAAGCGTATAGCCCACAGGAATTTATGCCATTTCTGCAACCCAGCTATCTTTTCAAACGACCGTAAAAAGACATCAGGGTCCTGTCCCTCCTCAAACTTAGGTAACTTAACAGGTGGGCATTTAATCTCATGGGGTTGAGACCCCCCAATTTTAGCATGTTCTAACTCTTTTTCTCTTATAGCTAACTCTCGTAATTTAACATCTCTTTCTACCTCTAACTTTGCACTTTCTCTCTGCGCCTGACGCTCTTCTCTCTCTTGCGCCCATCTCTCCCTTTCTAGCTCTCTCTTTGATTCCTGCTCCTGACGCCACATCTCGAGACATTCTTTTACGTTTTAAGTCAGCCATCCATTCTGGCATACCAGACATTGTGAAAGTTTGTGAACCTGAAACACAAAAGCAAAATTAATAATAGAAACAAACTTGCAAAAAAAATATTTCCTCTATTTACCCAAGCTCAGATGTATCCCACCGCTGCCACCAAATTGTTGAGATGTGGGTTATACACTTTAAGAACTTGAATAAATGAAGGAAACAAAACAAAATGAAATTTTAACAAAATTTTATAAACAAAACAAAAGTAAATTGTACAACAAAAGAAACAAATTAAAAAATATAGAAATGAATTGTCTATCAGCAGCACGTCAGTCCTGGAAGAATGTTCTTTAAAACGTAGACAATTAATCACCACACCCTTGCTGGAGGTTTGAGTTCAGGTTTTTGAATTTCCTCTGATAAACGGGTTTTCTTTCACAAATTAAATTGAATATTATAACTTTCACAAGTATCACATATATCACATAGTAAACTTTCACAATGCCGTCTAGATTAACTTTGGTTTGAATTTATATTATTTTAAACAGGAGATTTCATTATAACACATAACTTAAAATTGCTGGTCCGGATGTGTCCGTCAGGGCTGCCGTACTCTTTCGTACTCTCTCACACAGTTGCCGCTGTTACTGCAAACCACTGCCCGTTGCAAGCCTCTCCCTGTCTCCCTGGACTGCCGACTGGCTATTGTCAATGTAATTAGCTGTAGTACCCCGCCCAAGACCTGATAATTACGAAACGGGACAAAAGCCCGAGGAAATAGGACCCTGGGGAAAAATATAATAAAACAACCATACTAAACGTGCAGACTCACACAAGAAAACATATTTAACAAATTGTATTTTCAAATACCTGATGTAGTTTGAGTACCCGCCCAGGCTACTTCATCATAACAACAAGCCAAACAGGTCTTATCTCGGCTGTGACTTCCCGGGTACTACCCGAACACGAGCTCTCAGGTAGATAAAATTACACATCGAGGGGCTCCCCACAGGATAAGTAACAATATTTACAGTAACGCACTAGGGGTATCCTACGGGATTAAATTTAGTTTGTTACAAACCCCTTATATTAAAGAAGAGGCCCATGGATGAAGATGATTTTTAAAAGATGCAATTAATTTTTCGCTTATTCATAATTATCTCCCCTTGGAAGAGAGCCTGGCCTTTCATTTGAACAAATTTGAATCCCTTTTATCCAAGGATACTGTGTGCCAACTTTGGTTGAAATTGGCCCAGTGGTTCTTGAAAAGAAGTCGAAAATGTGAAAAGTTTACAGACAGACAGACGCAGGACAACATGTGATCAGAAAAGCTCTCTTAGGCCTTTGGCTCAGGTGAGCTAAACAAACTAAATTTAGGCATAAGTCAAAACCTGTCAAAATGATATTTTCTACCTCTTCTGTAGCTTTACATACTTAAACAGCACATCCTGGGAGACCTGTCAAAATAAAGTCAGTACAATGAGTAAATATTTCTGTATAGCTTCAATGTCTTGAAAACTAATGTTATGAAATGATATATTTTAGATTACTCATGGAAATGTATACCTGGATTTTGTCAAGTCTTTAAAATACCAACCCCTTATATTAAACAAGAGGCCCATGGACCACGTCGCTCACCTGAGCACTATGGCTAAGAAAAAAATACAAATTGGTTTATTATTGTAAAGTTTAAATCCCAAAGTAGTCCAGTGACCAGTCATGGCTTTAATATTCTTGAGAAGATGAGAATTTTCCTATATATTTCTATGTAAAACTTTGGTCGACCATTGTGGCTCTTCCCTACCCCCGGGGGTCATGATTTGAAGAATTTGGGATCTACACTACCTGAGAACGCTTCCTTATAAATCTGATGAATTATGGCTTTGTTATTCTTGAGAAGAAGATTTTTAAAGAATTTTCTTATATATTTCTATGTAAAACTTTGGTCGGCCACTTTGGCCCCGCCGTACCACCTTGGGTCCTGATTTGAACAAACTTGAATTTACACTACCTGAGGATGTTTTCCCATAAGTTTCATCTTTCCTGGCACAGTGGTTCTTAAGAAGAAGATTTTTAAAACATCTCACCAAATTTTCCTTAATTCCAAATTATCTCCCCTTGAATGAGGACCTGGCCCTTCATTTGAAGAATTTTAAATCCCCGTCACTCGAAAATGCTTTGTGGCAAGTTTGGTTGAAATTGGCCCAGCGGTTCTTGAGAAGTCAAAAATGTGAAAAGTTTACAGACAGACAGATGGACACCGTACAAAATGTGATCAGAAAAGCTCACTTGAGCCTTCGGCTTAGATGTGCTAAAAATTTAAAGATTTTTTAAACCTGTTAAAATCGTGATTTCTTCCTCTTCTTTAGCTTTACATAGTCAAGCAGCACATCCTGGGAGACCTGTCAAAACAAACTCAGTACCATGAGTAAATATTTCTGTATAGCTTCAATGTCTTAAAAGACTAATGTTATACATGAAGTATGGCTTAATTTAGATTATTCATGGAAATGTTTCATGATGCATTGATAAAAGTTGTCTGATACTCTCAAAACTGTAACACATTTCTTAATTTACTTTCCGATTGTCACAAACCTGTTAGATATAAAGGTAACTAGAAATATGTCCAGAGGACATGAATGCCCCACTGAGGGTATATTAGTTAAGCAACATGAAAATTTGTATAGATGTATGAAATTTTATCAAAATATCTTAAATAGTGATGCAGTTGAAGTGCTTACATTTATTTAGTATGTAATAATGACACTAATTTCATTAAAGTGAGGTCAAAGTCAAAGGAAATGCCAAGGTCAAACAAGAGGCCCATGGGCCACATCGCTCACCTGAGAAACTTTGGCTGTGCTGTACTTTAACAGATATCCCCCCTTTGTAATACAAAATGTTTGTTTTCACTCTTTTACACTTGCAGACTATTTTGTCCTGTTTTAAATTCGCCCTGTCAAAGTTTTATTCGAATACTGTATTATTTGAATTCGCCCCGTTTTAAATTCGCCCAAACGAGGCTAGGGCGAAAGGAGCGAAAATAAAACGAGGGCGAAAATTTCCCTGTATACAGTATGCCAAAATAGTAGGCAGGGTTTGACACATAGTGCACTTGCCTCCGGCTCGTGCACCATGTGTCAAACCCTGCCTACTATTCTGGCATAGTACATGTACATGCATAATGCAACACTATTACAATGTATATAAATCTAGCATTCCTGTATTATCTGCTTTTTATTAACCAATGTACACTTTCTAATCATTTTCCTCTGACAGAAAGATGGATAACTCTGTAAGAATGCTGCATTTTTTAAACATTCATAAAAAGCTTAATTTTCACCTGATCTGAGAAAAAAATCACTCATACTTTACACAATGGACTTTAAAAAAACTGACATTTTTTTTACTCCTTAAAAATTATTTGGTATTGCTACCGTTGCCCAGTGTACAATACCATTGTTTTCAGAATTCTTTAGTAGCAATGCCCAATAACTTTTAAGGAGTCAACAAATTGTCAGTTTTTTTATGTCCATTGTGTAAAGTATGACCCACTCATTCCATATATCAGCAATCATTTCTTAAATTAGGTAAAAATATAGTTTTTTATGAATGTTTAAAAAATGCAGAATTCTTACAGACTTATCCATCTTTCCGAGGAAAATGACTGGAAAGTGTACATCAGCAAATTAAAAGCAGATACTACAGGAATGCTAGATCAAAACAATTTTAAAAAATAACCTATTTACCAGTTGGTTAATTTTACCTGAAATTTCATACTATTCTCGTGCCACTTTTGAGGCACAGAAGAAAATGTGACACAGAATGTAAAATGCAAGAGTTGTCTTTCTTTGTTTTCCTTATTGATACAGAATAGGTTATGTCTCATTATTCGTATGCTGTGTTGTCGGTTAAAGTAATAAACTTATCAATAAACATCAAAGTATGATTATAAATGAAGTTTTTATTTGACTTTCATTGTTTTCTTCACCAAAGTAAGTCAATCTTGAAATTTATTCTTGTTCACTTTAAGATGAACTCTACTTTCATTTTCGCACATGAAATAGCCTTTGAACGAAAGAATCTGGGTGGATTAAGCGAGTCATATGCCTACGCAAGGGCAAGTAAAATATCGATTAAATAAAATCTTGCAAATTCCACTTATTATTAAATTTGGGAGTTATTTATAACCATATGCATACAGTAAAGATAAAACTTGAATCAAGTTACTTACAAATTGATTGTAAGTAACCCGCCAAAATGGTAATACGCTTTTTTAACCGTAAAAATGATAGAAATGGATGTTAAAACTGTGCTTTTTATATAGAGTGGGTCTTCGTGCCATGTTTTGTAAACAAATATTCAAAGGGTATGCAAGGATGTATCTCTCACCATTTTTAAAAAAAATGGTACGAAGACCCACTCTATATAAAAAAGTTAGTTTAGGCCATAATGAAAATATTCCTAGATTCTCATCCCAGCCCGCCCCGATTTTTTACCCCCGCCTCAATTTTTTTTATTTCTGTTTTTCGTCTTAATTTTGATTGGGATCGATATTCATCTGCCATTCTAGTTTCGTTTTAAATCCCTCAAAAGTCGACATGATTTTGACAGCTGAAAAGATAGTAATTGCTGTAATAAATGCCTCTACATTTTAAACAAGGGTCATGGGTTGAAAAAGATTGGTGATGATGTGAAGTAAAAGATAATTGAACCTTTACTATGACTTTTATTTGGGTATTGTAGATGAAATTCGGCGGTTGACCAGGTCAATAAGAAATCTGCAAAATTGAAAAAACATAAAATAAAAGTCGCCAGCCCGCCTCGATTTTTAAAAAAAAATTGGATGAGAATCTAACAATTTATTTATTATGACCTTACCTACTTAAATTTTGCAACATATTCTCAAAAACTCTAAGCACAGCTTTGCTTTAGCTATACATATAGAACTACATGTGTATTTGCTATTTAAAGGGAAATTTCTGTGCGACTTCGTGGCTCAGTAGTCATAGCGCCGGAGTTGAAGCATCCAGTTACCTGTCGCGAGTGTTCGAATCACAATTTTTTAAAGTTCAGGTTAAAAATTAGATAAACATATTTTTTTCACAAAAACAAAATGAATAGATAAGATGATGAATTGATTTAATGTCAATTAATGTTTTTCCTATAATATACTTGTTTTCAAGCTACACGTGTTTATAACAGTTAAAAGGAAAGGTAAAGCGTGCCATCTCCCAAACCTGAAGACATAATTTTTTGACAGAACAATTAACACGCAATATGAAAATCATCACGTTAAAAATACTGTAAACATATACATATTGTCATTTGGACAGTACTGTACAAAGTTTATTACAATAAATGTTTAGGTAAATCGTACAACTATGAAATTTCCGAAATGCTTACATAGCGACAAAATCCGTGTGGACATATGACTCGCGTTATCCCCCCCCCCCAAGATTCTTTCATGATTAAAATGCTTCAGCATTGTTCAAAAACAAGGATATAACATTGTATCACCTTGACAATGAAGTAAATAGACCGCTAGACGTTCAATTTACATTGTTTACATTTTTTCTACACACGTGTTGGCTGCTATACTGGATATGAACGATCCGAATTTTCTCCAGTTGGCCTTAGAAAAATTTGTGTTTAGAACAAGAACGGTTGAATACTTGCCTGCATGTGATATGTATTTGTAGTGGTATAACAGAGGGGGCTACTTGTGCATGTTTTGACATATTACTCGTCCGTATATGAAAATTAGAGAATTCTTAATTTTTCAATTTATTTTTTAAAAGACTAATTGCGCCATACTTCAAACATACTAACTTCATAGAAAGGTCATCAAAACGTTTGAAAAAACTAGGGAAAGTAGTTTATTAAGCCGTACTTTTCAAGCTCTTTTCCAATACGGAATCAAAACGAGGCTGAGGGAATCTGGAAAGTTATCTCCCCCTTGCTTGGAAATTGCTATTTTCAACAAATTTTCATTTTTATTCTAATGAGGGTATTCAGACACGCCAAAAAAAATATAAGGTGAATTCACCATGCATCGGACACCCTTGTACTTCAACAAATTCTAGCGATATTGCTACCAACAGAAAATTATCAAAATGGAGCTTAACACTTGTGATCAAAATACAGATTTGGGACAAATTCATATGCCATTTAATGAGAAAATGTCACCAAAAATTCATTTTTTCCAAAAAAAAAAACAAAATATTCACCATGGATTGAACATTATTTACCATGCATTGGACAGACCATATTTCGACAGAAAATATCATACATTTATCACAATACTTCAAAATCTTTGATATGGATATAATTTTATATTCTTTCTAAGAAATAACCTAAGAAATAAATTTATTTGACGATATCGTTATACAAATATTGAAAGATTCAAGATACCTTACTCAGCTTTAGAAAGGCTTTAAAATGCTTGTAATGCAGTGATTCGCGCCTTTTTCTAATGAATTAAAATACTGTGGTTTGTAAAAATAAATTGCGTCAGATTCTAGACGCGATATATCGATAACTTCTATCTTGACTGTAAATTTAGAGTTTTTATTTTCCATTTCTGCAAAAAACAACTGTCAGTTGGGTTCTGTATGAAAATGGTAGTGATTAACTTTGTATCAGAAAGTGTCCGATGCATGGCTAATTTGTGTCCAATGTACGGTGAAATGAGTATACTAGTAAAAAGCATCTCTAATAAGATTTAATTAAAAATTGAAGTGAAATTTCTTTATAATTTATGTAAAATTACAAATCCCCGACAAAATCCACCAAAGTCCGACTCATTCCGTGGAAGTCGAAATTAAAAGAACGATAACTCTAAAAATTGCAAAATCATAAATTTCAGGTTATTCCCCTTTGATGATGTAAAATTGCGGGGTTTTTTTATTACAACATGATCAACACAATCGGTAAATTGTTATTCGAGAAAAAAAAGGCCTTCAAATAAAAATATTGTCCAAACCTGACCAGTTGACCTAGTGAAAACGGTACTAATCCAACTTTTCTAACCTGATTTTTATCCTGATTTCTTTTCCATCCATTAAGAATTTTTTTCTTATTATTATTGATAAAAAAAAATCACTGATCTTCCTTCATAAATTTCTTGGAGTCGGGAAAGGCAGTGATGGATCTTTTTTCAGATAGCATCATTTTCTTTTTATTTACAGTTTAGTATCAATAAGATCTTTGCAAAAGTAAAATTCCATTTTTTTTTCTTCAGTTTATTATTTTTGTTATTAATTCTATTTCTATATATTCATTTTATTAATAATTCATTTGATTATTGTCAAAATTTTCACAAACTTAATGTAGAAATTGAGATCGACATACATACATGTAATCTTGTCACAAGCAGAACATTTTAAAAAAAAT